ACAATGTTAATAATTTGCCGATGGTTAAATGTCTGTACTTGCTTGATTCTAACATTACCAATTTATAGATCGTATCTTGAGCTGTTTTCTTGCTAACAAAAATATATCCTTTCTGGTTAGTCTTCTTTTTGCTTACAATGTTAATAATTTGCCGATAGTTAAATGTCTGTACTTGCTTGATTCTCACATTCCGAACTCGTAGGTCGTATCCTGGGATATTTCTCTTGCTAACAAAAATATATCCTTTCTGGTTAATCATTGTAATAATACAATGTCTAGGATTTCCTGCAGTCTCCTTGCTTCACACCATTTTCTTTTTGTGTCTTTTTACTCAGTTCATTTTTTGTCTGCATCCAGACGATTCGTTTATTGTAAATGTTCAGGATTTTTATATTTTCCCCAAGCCGACTCCAACATTTTCGTCCTTTCTTAAGCAATCACTAGTCTTCTTATATCTTTCTTTTTTCTCTCTCGTCATTTTTAATTTTCTATATTTCACTATATCTTCACTTTTCTCTTCATATATATATATATATATACCCCATTTTTTTCTTTCTTATCATTGTTCCTTTCCGTTTGACTTCATTTCTCTCCTCCGTTTCCAAATCATTTTTTATTCCTATTTTTATCAGATGTATATTTTCGAAAAAAATTACTGTTGTTTATTTCTATTTTTATTTGAATTGCGAGTCATCAATCACTATTTATATGTACCTAACGACTCATAGGCTTACGGTCATATAGCGTTGAAACACTGGTTCCCATACGATCAGCGAAGTTAATCAACGTCAAGCATTGTCAGTACATAGATAACTGACCCCTTGGAAATACCAGGGGCTATAAGCTTAGATGTGCGGATGATGTAACAAATAATTGCTCAGAATTGTTAATCGGAGTGCCGAGTCCCAATTCCTGCTGGGCTCGTTATATTCATTTACGCGCAAATATCTCTTCTCCTCCAGCTATGGGTTAATTAATAATATGTGTATCACTAAATTATTATTATCTCGAAAAAAAACTCTTAGAATCTTAAAATATTTTCAGGCTTTAAATAACCTGAAAAGTGTTGATAAACCGAAAAGAACGAATGAATAGATCAATCAATGTCACAACTCAGTTTCCCAACTTAATATCTTGTTTGTTTGTTTGTTTATTTAGCGACATATCAACTCCTCAAAGGTAATTTAATGTCGAAATTTAATTTTCGTGGGAGAATTAGTAATTTTTGAAAATGTATGGCTGTTATTTTTTATTTATTTTTTTTTTTTTTTCTTTACAAAAATGACGAAAATATATTTCTTACAGAAGTATATTGTGTGTACTTCTTTTACTATTAAAATGTATTACTGGTATTTTTACTATAAATTTGTTTATACTTTCGTAGTGTTTGACCACAGTTTGGGGCTTAAGTATTTGATAATAACTGGAACCCTAACAGGTGCTACCACACCGGATCGGGGTGAACCTGAGAACAACAGCAATTAAGAGGTAGCTCAACGGTCTTCAAAACCTCCAGATCAGAGGGCTTGCTGCCGGATGTAATTTATCGTAATACCTAGGACGCACTTAATATCTACTCTGAGTAGCAAACGACTGTTTTTTTTTTTTCTGTAACAACTAAAAAAGAAGTTTGCGAATTTGTAAGTAAACGAATTGTAGCATGCTGCTCACTTCAGATGAAACCAAAATAGACTTTGCAATTAGTGTTCTTTACAGAAGCCAGGTGCAGAGTTAACTTAGGGGATGACATCGTAGCCGATGGTGAGGGTGGCGATTCACACGTCACAAGTTCTTTTTGTTGTCATTTCTTGAGAAAAACAATGTATAAGTCTAATTCCATAGGGTTGAGTTTTATTAAAATTCTATAGTTTTTAAAACAATACAAAATTACCGAAAAATTATTTATCGTAATAGCGATGTCAACAGCAGAATGGTTTGTTTGACAATCCTATTCTATTTTTTTCGGGTATTTTTGTTAAATTTTGCACCATTATTATCACAAGACTCCGAAACATACACTGGTGAATTATATATATATATATATATATATATATATATATATATATTAAGAAATATAGTCTTAAGCAGTGCTCTATTGATGAAATAAAGTGCGTAATATCAGGGATAGAGCGCATGTAAATACAAAAGGGAACATTGAAGTCAACACTCAGAGGTTATGATTGCGTCTAGTATGAAACTGAGTGTTGACTCCAATATATATATATATATATATATATATATATATATATATATATTTGACTTGACTTCAAGAATTCTCTTTGCAAGCAAGCGGCTTGCGTACAAACCGAATTATTCATAACCATTTTGGTTCTCACCAGTCGAAGTGCAATTAAATGCACTGAAACGAAGTTACATCTTGTGTAGTGAGTAAATTGTTTTTGTCTATATGAAAAAATTGTAATATATATATATATATATATATATATATATGAATGAAGAAATATAGTTTTACGGTGTGCTATATATGTGGGATAAAGTGCTAAATATCAGCGATAAAGCGTATGTAAATATAAAATTGAACATTGAAATCAACACTCATAGGCGTCAGACTGTTTCATGCGAGACGCAATCATCAGGATTGATGATTGAATCTAGCATGAAATAATCTGTCGTTTCTGAGTGTTGACTTCAATGTTTACTTATATATATATATATATATATATATATATATATATATATATATATATATATATAGTGAGGTTAACACCGAGTGGCGACAGTTTGTTTCAAATGGTTGAACGCAATCTTCAGTATAGGACCTGAAGATTATGTTCGTGCGTGAAAAAGACCGTCACCGCTTGGTGCTAACTTCAGTCCTAGGTATGATGATAAACTATATCCAGCTGCAAAACCATTGATCCGGAAATTGGCGGTTTTGCAGAGCGCGTAAGCACCACTTAATTGCTGCGCTTCCAGTGTCCACCCTGACCCAGGGTTTTATCACTTGTTAGGGTCCATCTATGGGCAAATAATTAGCCTCCTAAACAGAGACACTATGAAAGTATAAAAATACATTTTAATAGTACAAATACCAGTAGTACTTATAATACATGATCAGAAATATATATTTATCTGTAGTTGAAAGAATAGTATTGCATTCAAAATAAATTTAGTTGAAGCCATAAAATTATGTTCAAATTATTTAGATTTCGGCATTAAATAACCCCTATGGGTTGACATGCCGCTAAACAAAATCAACCAACCAACATGAATTCTTTCATTACATAAATTCATATAATAGCCTACAATTTCTAAAAACAAGCTGTATTCCAAAATATAACTTAAAAGTATCTACAACATATAACACATATATCACCACCTCTAGTAATTATGTCAACAGAAGCTTGTATACGCATAAAAACTGAGTACCATGTACCATGTATTCAACTGTGAAAGCAGAATAATGTATCATATTTTTTCTTACGATACCAAGAAAATTAAATTTCGGTAAATCAACTAACTGGTGTTAACTTTATATTATAATTACATAAGCTCTATCCTCTTTACACATAAATACAGCATACCGTAAAACTATATATGTGTATGTGTGTGTTTCTGTGTGATTGCGCGCGTGTGTGTGTATAACGTATGATGCCACATACTCCTTATGAAAAATTATCTATAACCTAGGCCGGTAGACGCAATTATGTTGTTTAAAAGAATACAAAGTTCTACTGAGACATGAAGATCTACTAATAGTAATGAATGAACTCGGTTTAAAAAGACATTATTTCCTCCGAAAATACAATGTTAATTGATATGTTTTTTAATCATTTTTACTCGAAAAAATGCAATAAAGCCACTAGGATGCAAGGGGTAACTAAGTGTTAGAGAATATGAGGAAAAAATATTATTAAGGAGAGAGGACAATAAAAGAAGAAGGTTTAAGAAAACAGAAGATAACGATTGACATTGCATTTACATTTTTGAAAATCAAATTTGAGTGGTAATCAAGAAGCCAGAAGATAGTTCCACAAGCGAGAAGTGTGATAGAAGAAACTTTTAACATAGAACCTACGGTTACATCTAGCTATTTCAACTGTAAAATCTTTAAAAGAGAGATGTATTTTCTTTCAAGTGGGTAATTTAACCTCCTTCGTCACTAAACTGTCTAAAAAGGACGCTCCTCTATACGAATCCAGCTGAAGAGTACACATTTATATTTTATTAAAAAGGTCACTAAACTCCAGGCCGATATATGACAATTACACAATTAAAATAAAACTTTAATGTCTACTTAAACTCGTGTATTCACTAAATGTAGCGTTTCGTTTAGAGTAATAATTATATATATATATATATATATATATATATATATATATATATATATATATATATATATATATATGATTAGTGACCTAAAGGTAATCTTTTCTATCTTTTTCCGTAGGAACTAAAATATCCACAAGAAGAGAAATAATGCTCTTGAACAATGCAAGGTTTTGTTGTTGTTTTTTGCTTTTTTAAGCAACAAATCTATTTTTTACGTAGTCACAAACATTGGTTACGTATTTTCGAGGCCCAAATCATTTCTGAGAATGCATTACCAACAGTCTAACTGTGATCACATCCACTTTTTGGTTTCTGTAAATGGCAGTAAATATCTATGTAATATATTTCTTCAGCATAGAGAAATTCAGTAGCACAACTCTATCATTTTTATCTCAGATGATATTTTAGCAGTAACAGAGAAAAACAATATGGAATATTGGCAAAAAGGTTCAGCCTCCATTGGCATACTGACAACATGAACCTCTGACGTCGTGGGTTAACAGAATAAAGTAGAAGTCATTAAACTTAGAATGCGTACCTAATATATACTATTGAGAAGTATATTGGTCTTTATCCAAATCTGCATTCTGGTGTTTGACCATTAAAATGCTGATCTTGGGAAGTGGGTCAGGCTGAAGACTTTTTAGAACCCCCGCGTATAATATACATATATGTATGTGCGTATATATGCGTGCTGTCTGTCCCAGAATATCCTTATAACCATTTCGAATCTATCTATCTATCTATCTATCTATCTATCTATCTATCTATCTGTTCCAGTATTTGTACAGAGATCATTGTGAAGCTATATCTAATTCGACAAAGGAAAGGAAATTAACGTAGAAATATTACGTTGTGCTGACATTCAAATTAGGATAAGGTCTACTTGTCTTGAAATCAATTATTAAAATTCGTCGCATGATGCCTAGATTCCAACTACAACCCGTTGCACAGATGTAAAATTGATATGTCCCGGAAAGGGATATATTTGAACGAAGTAGCTAAGTGGTTTTGGCTACTAATACCAAGTAGAATATGGTAGCAGTAATCGACTGGTACGCGTCGTAGTCGCAAGTAAGTGTAGGTCAATGGCGTAGTCTAATGGGCGTTGTTATAGACTTAGCTCTCTGACTAAGGCTCTTGACTCTCCAACACATCCGTCGGTATTTACGACGGACGCCAGCCAATCATATTCCAGTGAGGGGGAACACAGGTGTATGCATATTCCATTATATTAAAAATACACGTCTGTCTCAGCCACTGCAGCAAATCGCATATTTATTCATTTCTGTCTGTCTGTCTTTCTTTCTTTCTTTCTTTCTTTATTTCTTTATTTATTTATTTATTTATTTCTATTATGATTCCAGTGTTCGAAGCTCACGATACTCAACTTGTAAAGGCAGTATCTTCTTCATGTTACCGGGCCTGGGAAGGCGATCCCAGTGTGCTTCACCTTTGGAAAATGCCTGACAATCAAGCCACAATTTGACCCCCAGTTTGTGAATTAATTAGTTGTACTAGCACGAAATCTCAAGTCATCATGACCGAGAGTTTGAGTGTTCTGGCCAAGATTATGTACTCTCTCCCAGAAACTGTAACTAAGGTCAGCTCAGCATAATTGCAGTATAAACCATAAGTGGACTCTGTAGCTGTTGAACAAACACAAATGTACCTGAGTAGGCGTCTGCAAACGTGATTGGCTCGTCGCCCTGGCAGACGGATGTGCTTGGAAACGAGTAAACGGCCATTATCTTAAGTATATACACAGGTATGATGTACACATCTACCTCAACGCTGCAAATCGCACATATATTTCTTTCTTTTCTTTCTTTTTTCTTTCTTTTTTCCTTATGTCTCTTTTTTATTTTTCTGTTTTATTTTTCTTTCTTACTATTTATTTTCTATCGTTTTTCTTTCTTTCTTTCTTTTTCGTTTTTCATTCTCTCTTTTTATTTGTCTTTCTTTCTGTTTCTTTCTTTTTCTCTTTCTTTCTTCTTTCTTTTTCTCTTTCTTTCTTTTCCTTTTTTCATTCTCTCTTTCTTTTCCTTTTTTCTTTCTCTCTTTCTTTTTAGTTTTTCTTTCTTTCTCGCTTTCTTTTTCATTCTTTTTTTTTCTTGCTGTCTGTCTTTCTCTTCATTTCTGTTTGTTTAAGCCTATCTATATATCCTAGACTGCTAATATATGCGTGTCCATTATATTCTACATATTTAATTGGATTATTCGGGCACAAAGAAATAAGTTTGGATGTAGCCAGTGAAGGTCGAATAAAGTAGTAATGAGCTGTTAGACTAGTTTGTTAACCATTACTCTAAGATAAGGCGCATTAATCTGTTCATTTCCATCTGTTCGTATCAATTCAAATCTATTTTTCTATTCCGATTTATCCAATTCTATATATATACTTGTCTTTTCAAATCTATCTATTTACATCGGTCTTCTCCAATATAATCTTCCTCTTCTAGTCTCTTTAAATTTATCCATTTCAGTTTCTCCAAATCTATCTATCAACACTGACCTTCTTAAATATAGTTATCTCTTCCAGCCTCCATACAACCCGGTCTGACCTGCTATTTATCCATAAATTAGAAGAGGATTCATACCTTTATTAACACGTAAGTGAATGTAATCGATTCGAGTGAAATTTGAACTCGGCTCTCAAGATTACTCACTCCAAATGCTATCCATTACTCCAACCAGCTATCCAGTTAAGCTTCTTAAAAAATATACCTATCTACAGCCATCTCAAATATATATACCGCTACTATTATTGTTCAATCTATTCCAATTTGGTCAAATCTATCTGTTTCATTCTTTTCAAATCTATCTATACTGGTCTTTTCAATTACTTATGCCGCTTCCATTTTTTCAAATCTATTTATCGATTGCAATTTATTCATATCAATATATCTGCTACAACTTATTCAAATTATCTAAATCGGTTTTCTCACTTATATATCATGCTTCCAATCCCTATCTATCTATCTAAATCTAAACAAAAATATTTATCTGTTTCCGTCTTTTCAAACCTATGTATCTATTCTACTTCAGTCTGTTTACAGCCATATATCTTTCTTCTCAAATATATCTACGTCTTTCACTCTTTTCTAATATATCTATCAATTCAATTTGACCAAACTTATTTACTTCGCATTTCTACCTATCTGGACGGGTTATCTTAAATCTACCTTTTTCCAGTCTCTTCTAGTCTCTTTATCGAATGTGTTTAAATCTATCTATCTATCTATCTATCTACTTTAGTTTCTTCATGTTTGTCTATATCAATCTGTTTATTACTACCTTTTTTTCGTGTCTATTCCAGCCAGCTTCTGTCTCTCTTTCTCGTCGACTAAGTAAATAGATATTTTGTTTTTATATAATTTTTTATCTCTTCCTTTGTATGCTTAATATCAGCTTCCTAAGAAGTCGGTAGACACTACTGCCGACTTCCCATTCTTTTGACAAATCCTCCTTACTGTTTTAGGCGTTGTTATTTTTGTGATCGAATAGGTGAAGCTAGAAATGGCATGTATAAATAAATGGAAACAACATGTTTATAGCAATTTTGAAGATATTTTAGAGAACTATATTAATGTAACATAAATAAACGTAAAACGTTGTCGCCTTTTGAGCTGGTTGATCTGGTAATACAAAGCATTAGTCTGTACCTAAAAAAAATAAATCTAAAAGGAAAAATTCGTTGATAGATAAACATTGCACGTTATACGATGATATTTGGTATTTATTGTAATATACGTAAAATAGTATTTATATTAAGAGTATTATATATTACAGATAGATAGATAGATAGAAATGAATGAATGAATGCATGAATATACAATTTGCTGCAGTAATTAAGATGTGTATATGTTGTGTATGATACACCTAATTTACATAAGCGGACTACCGACCATATAAATATGGGTTGGTACCGGAAGACGGGGAAGATAGTAGAGATTAAGATATTGAATCCAGAGACTCTGCCCGACTGCGATTTAGTCAACCCATTATGCAGGAACAGTCTTCCCAAGAATATACCAAACTATCTGTAAATATTGTGTACCTATTCTTTGTTTCAATACATTTTGTTAACGTACATTTTGTGTTGTATTATTCCATGCTTATTTAAGCTTCAACAGTATACTATATATTATATATATTATATACTAACCGAATTACCCGCGTCTTGCTGCATGTCACTTTTTTTGTAAGAAAATGATGATTGATTTTAAGTCATTGTTATAATTTGTGGCGAAAAATGATGCATTTCAGTATTAGTCAATGATCTTTCCGATATGACCTCCATCTTCCGACTTTTTCCTTCTATATTTTGGATAGAAGTCATTACTTTGTTCAAATTTAAATTTAATTTAAATCGAAGGGAAACAAATTTTCAGTAGTTTTTTTTTTTTTTTTTTTTTGCTCACATTGGACCTACTTTGATCAAAATGAAACATATTTATCAAAGTACCCTGGGAGTCATGCCCTCGTTCAAATTTAAATTTAATTTAAATCAAAGGGAAAGACTTTCAGTGTGTGTGTGTCTGGGGAGGTTGTGATCCCCCATCGAAAACCCACTTTGATCAAAATAAAATATGCTTATCAAAAGTACCCTGGGTAATGTAGTTTCAGAATATATATGGCTATGTAGGTCTATCTTCAAAATCCTAGGATAAGTTCGATAACAAACAGATAGACAGAGGCTACAACTTTTTTATATATATATATATATATATATATATATATATATATATATATATATATATATATATAAGGCAGGATGTGTGTGTGTGTGTGTGTGTGTGTGTGTGTGTAACGAATGCACGGCCGCAATTTTCGACGGATTTGCACCAAAATTTACAAGTACATGCTCCAAGTTAGCGGGAAGCCCAAGACCGACTTTACATTTCCCAACTCCCATCGATAGCGGAAAAAAATCGAGTTTTTCATGCTTCTACGGCAGTTTTTATGTAGTTTGCGGCCATTTTCTACTCGCCAGAGTGAGAGCCTATAGCTGGCTGCCACGAATAGACAGGAAGGTTCTATTGGCCAACGTGAGAGCCAACAGCTGACAGACACGAATGTTAACTAGCATGCTAGCATGCAAAAAATATCGATAGCTGCATTCGTCACAAGTGGGAAAAATTTCAATCTGCATGGCACTTTACTCCAATTGGCTCATTCGCTTGCTTAAACTCAACGATGATTCTGATTCCGCAGAACTGGGTTGGATGTTAAAAAGTATTTGTTGTTAACATTCTTTTTTCATTCGGTTTTTCCATTTACGAGTCCATTTTTAAAGCTGATCCTTTTGTGTTCATTTTGTTTAGTTCTTTTTTAGTAACAAATTTAATGTTTAGTATAGAGCTTAGAAAAATTCGCAGTGTGAGATAGGCAAGAAGTAAGGCATGTACCAACATCAGCACGGCAAAGGGCACTCATTTAAAGGCAAGGAAGGACAAAAATATTTTAAGTCAAGTGATAACGATTGCTGTATGAGTAGTACGATTTTTGAATCAAGCACGGGCAACGCCGGGCCATGCTGCTAGTATATATATATATATATATATATATATATATAGAGAGAGAGAGAGAGAGAGATTTATTGTAATATATGTAAAATGGTACTTTTATGATATAGAAAATAGTATTTTCAAAAAATCAATTCGGTATCTATGCTGATGACACCAACGATAATTACAGTCTTATTAGTAAATCTGAGAGGCTCGATAAGGTCAAACTGGCATCTGATATCAAAAAATACATTCTGTTAACTGGGGCAAATAATGGCTTGCTAATTTTAACGCCTCCAAAACGAAACTGTTCTCTTTTAATCATCTGAGAGAAGCCTTTTTACATTCTATCAGCATGGCTGATGCTAACCTCCAAGAGAGTGACTCATTGTGTCTTTTCAGACTAACGTTTTCCGCTGACATGAAAGGAAAAGATTATATTGAATCAACCGTTAGACCGGCTGCTGGGAAAGTCTGTTCCCTGTGTCGTACTAGAAATTTTTTTTCGCCAAAATCTATCTTATCTTTATAAGTCTATGAACCACCATTGCTTTGAACATTACTGCCGCATCTAGTCTGGTACTCTTGCTATATATTTAGAGATTCTTGATAAAATCCAAAGAAGAATCGGCAATATTATTGGTACTGACCTGGCGTCACAGTTTCAGTAACTTTCCAACCGCGGTAATGTAGCCAACAATTTCTACAAATACTTTCATGTTAATCGTTCTGATAAACTTTCCTCTGTGGTACCCCGACTTTTTAAATTTAAGCGCAGTGCTAAATTGGCGGCAAAGTTTCGTCATTTTAAAGTTGGAATGGCTACATGTAACCGTTGTTTTCATGCTAACAGCTTATGTTCTCGTATTTCTAGCTCTTGGAATACTTTTCTGGCTTCTGGTTTCTTGCTTCTCACTCTACTTTGTTCTTCAAAAATGTAAATGCCATGTCAATCGTTATCTTCTACCTTCTAATTTCTTATTCTCTTAATATTCTCCCTCTTTAATAGTGTTTTTTCTTCTTGTCATATTCTCTCACCCTTTGCGTCTTAGTGGTTTTAATGCCTTGCTTGGCAGTGAAATGATTGAAAAAAACTGACGGCGGGGAATTTTGATCAGATTTGCCTATTGATAAAAATGGTTAACTTGTATTTCAAAAATGAAATAATAAGTTACTGCACTTTTTTTTTTAATAAAAATATGAATATTTGATATTCACCAGCAGGTGCTGAAAAATTCTCTGTTCGATCCATTTCCCAAAAAAGGGAACAAATTATCAAACGCCAGAATTTATTATTATAATATTTTCTTAGATGAAGTGATAATTTTCAGCACCCTCTGCTACTCTTTGATATAAAGACTATTTTTAATATCTATCTTTTCATTCCGTTATTTGTAAATAAATTTCATTGATTGATTGACCGTTGCCATTATCCAAATAAAAAAACAAACTGATTCACTCTTTGGAAATGTTCCATAAATTACAAGGATGACATTCGCTATTTTATACGAATTTTAAAGAAGTTTAGGAGTTTTTTTCCAATAGATCCTTATGTTTTCCTTTTCTTTTTAGACAGCATAAATGTAATCGATTATTATAGAATAATGAGATATAAATGTATTCTTATGCATGAACCTCTTTCTCTCTCTCACTCTCTCTTTCTATCACTCTCTCTCTCTTTCTCTCACTCTCTCTCTCTCTTTCTCTCACTCTCTCTCTCTCTTTCTCTCACTCTCTCTCTCTCTTTCTCTCTCTCTCTCTATATATATATGCATGAAACTAAATATACTCACACATATATATGCATGAACTTATACATGCACACACACATATGTGTGTGTGTGCATGAATCTACATATATACACGTATATAAATACTTTTGGGCAAAAATCTGAATAGAAACTGAATCGATAAACAAAATACAAATGAAATAGACATAATGATATATATATATATATATATATTTATTTATTTATATATATATATATATATATATTTGTGTGTGTGTGTGTGTGTGTGATGCAATATACCGGAAATATCTGATCTTGCTACCGATAAAAGACAGAAGATTGGGTTCAGCCTGAAATAGATTGACACCATTCGCTAGCCTTACTTCTTAAATTTACATATATCCACTTTAATATATATTTTTTTCCATTTTTCTTTCTTTCTCTCCCTTATATACAACCCCTAGCAAAAATGATAGACTCTTAGACATTCAACCATATTTTTCCCTTCAAAGCAAACAACACAATCAAGTAAGCCAATCACAGACAAACATAACAATTTTTCTTTAATAGTTGAAGATTTGGGTTTCATGAAATATACCCCAAACAAATTAAATGCAATTATTTTAATTAGTGGCATAATTAAAATTAATGATAGTATCGCCCAATATTTACGAAATGGTATGAACTCATCAGCCAGAAACATCAAAATTATTATTCTGTTGCGACTGTTCGGATTTTATAGCCAGCTAAATTCTTCGACTTTATGAACTTCTCGAAGGAAAAACCATATCCTATATCAAGATGGTTTTAAATTTCTGGTATATCTGTTCACATTGCAAGAGAAAATACGTTGTAGATATTTCTTTTTTAATTTAAATGTATAATAAAAATGAAATCCAAATTGCTAGCTGTCCATGTCATTGAGTTGATATGCATTTCCCGACGAAAAACTTTAAAACCTTTGTCGTTAGAGGCTTTATTACCTTGACAAAAATGACTTCAAATTCCTCTAAACTATTTTCTGTTGATGGAATGAGGAAATTGCCTAGAATTTCGATGTGTACCTTTATATCGACTACTGAGATTGTCAACTCACCTGTTCCTTTACCTGTTAGGTAACGCCACATTGTTTTATCAAGCAGTAATCGTTGTTTCAATGTGAAGAGCAGCAGACCAAAACTTCTCAATATTATCTGCTTGGCCAATAAATTTCACCATTTCTCAGTGAATAACACTTTCGTCAACACTCCATTATTGCTTTCCTGGAACTCGTCTAAAGATTTTTTTTTCTATGTAAGTGTTAGCGTTGGTTGTTATTTGGATGCGAGTGTGCGGGTGGTGTAATTAATAGGGCCCCGAATTTAGAAATTGAAGAACCGACTTCGAATTCCAGTCTGGTTCTTTACATCGACCTACGAACAAATGCATCTAGGAAGGGTATGGTTTCGACCCCCCGCTGTGAGTCAAACAGGTGGACATGCATTTGGAAAAATCGTTGTTTCTCTCTCGAAAATTTTGAGGCAATATTCACTAGCAAAAACGTTTTATTCTTACAATCCAAAATATGGTTCGGTATGAAATTACCCATAAAGTATTTATAAACCGTAAAAACACACAAATCCATTAATATCATGAAGCAATGGAATAACTTCTTCTGAACAACTTTTTCAACCTTGGCTAAAGATTAGTGAAATTTAAGCGCATGGAATCTATTATAAGTCGTTAACGAGAGATTATGGATATATTTAGTACATATTTTATATCGACATAGTCATAATTTATAATAAGATTAGTCATTATTTTCAGAAACATCTTATAACTAATATTACGTTATGTTTTATTACGATCTCTGATCTATACAGCAAGAATTATCTGTAATGCGAAACTGTCTTATAGAATGAATTATACACTCTACGAAGAATGGAAATTCTTGTAAAGACTTCATGTCTGCTGCCGAACCCAAAGTGTTAATAAGCAGTAAAATAAAACAAATCAATTCCGTTTTATGTAGCCGGTTTTGTACAATTCGAGCACAAACATCAAATCTATTTGTGTTTCATTTGTTGCCTGCATGTTCTATTTTTAAAATACATTGGATTTAGTTTTCTATCCTGAAGCAATTTTTCTTTCATAACCTCACCATTTTGATTATAAATGTTCCAAATTTTAGACATTACTGACTGAAAACAACTAACCTATTTTATTTATGTTGAATTTCTTTCTTCAATGAGTTTTATAATGCTATTCGTTAATTGACATGTCTCTTTTTTGAGACATGTTTCCTTTCAGTTACCCAAGATCATCTGTTCGTTGAGGTCAACAAACACTCATTTAACGGCAGTCCAATATATATATATATATATATATATATGTGTGTGTGTGTGTGTGTGTGTGTGTGTGTGTGTGTGTGTGTGTGTGTGTGTGTGTGTGTATATAGTGTAGTATCGGAGTGTTTATAGATATAAACAGTGTGGACATAGAAATCAACATTGCATTGTGACTGTCATGCTTCATACCTCAATGCGAATTTAAGGCCTGTTTTAAATGGCGAATTGAAAAATACGTATCATTAACTAAACATATAATATAACAAATACTCGGAAATTATAAATAAAGTCAACAAAAAAATCTAAATAAACAAATTAAATAAAAATCAAACACATTATGAAAGTACGAATAAACACAAAAGCACAAGTGCATGTAACAGTAATAATAATTAACAACAAATAAGTAATCAACATTAAATAATAAGTAAAATGTTAACAAACATTATAAAATAGTTACAAATAAGACTATTCGTATCCACAATTGTATCTACTCAGTAAACTATAGAACAATTTGAAACGTCACCGTTACCAACCTCCGTCATTAACCTTCAGGATAATACACTAGATCTTACTATCCATGATGCACCACTGACATAAATACAACACACATGGCTTGAATATTGCGATGAAGCAGAACAGCCTGGGATTGACCTCCAGTGTCCACTCAAAAGTCATGTGTTCGTAAAACTTACAGTGTTACGCTATCTTTGATATTCAGAGCCGAACGAGGGTGAAGAGAAGTAAAAGAAATGGGGAGAGAATATAAGGAGACAAGAAAATGATGAAAAGGAAAATAACCACGACATTTTTTTAAATATACGCCCCCACACACACACCTGCACAATACACACACACACACACACACACACACACACACACACACACAGAGAGAGAGAGAGGAAAAGTCAATATACCACCAATAACTGGCACATAAATTAATTTTAACTGAATATAAAAATAACGAAATGAGAAAATCCGAAGTCCATTGATAATACCTCCTAACAAGTGTACATGACGTCTATCAAGTTCCAGAGCCGAAGGACTGAACATAACATCAATCAGCGAAATGACAAAGTTTATTTGTATTAAACCTATATATATATATATATATATATATATATATATATATATATATATACTCGACACTCCTATCGAATTCGACGTATGAGGGTCAAGCAGATCAGTTCTAGGAAACCGACAGCCCGATACCAGCACATGAGATTTAATTATAGTGGTGAAGGTTTTGTGCAGAAACATCCACACTTTTTAAAGAGCCGATTACAGAGACCCGGTGCACTACGTGCCACGTGCCAAACGACCCTCCGCAAGTTTTGAATTCAGAGTTGTCCTTCTCCTAGACCAGTTGCCATCGAAGACTATAGAACCCGGTCTGTTCTGCTATTTACCCATCCTCTTCTTCTGCCTCCAGCATATATATATATATATATATATATATATATATATATATATATATATAATATTTATGTATATTTAGGCAGCATATTTCATTCAAGCAGACGTATTATGTATATTTATTTTAGTTTCAATTCTTTCGAGTCCACGAATTAATTTCTTGGTGGCCACAGAAAATTGATTAAGAAAAATACCAAAATTTCCTTTCAAATATTTTTTTTTCTTAAGTACTTTCAATCTCATCTGAGACAATCTTCAGGGGGTTAAACTGTTTGTGGATGTGTATAATAATGACTTTTCTAATTACATCGTTTCATAAATTAGACGAGGAATATAAACATAAATAAAGACGAACACAATACATCATCAAATAACTCTAAACATATCAAACTACTTTACTGTAATGAAATGCATTCTAACTATTAACAGGAGGAAAAACTTCTAAAATGAGTCATAATCACTAATATATCCCCACTGATCTAAATAGCAAATAAAATTAATTATATACTATACTAAATTTAATTAAACCAACCTAGTTGTCCAAAACTATTCTTCTTCGTCAACTTGCATCTTACCAAAGACCAACATCGTATATTAATTTAAATGTCCTTTGGGGGATTGCATCGCTGATGCTAATAGGTATGTTGGTGTTACAACAACGATGCTGACGAGAAGGCTTACGTTTCACTTGCATCAGCATAATTCAATCTCAGAGCTTTTAAAAGAACACTCGTTTACACATTCACAGTTTTGATAGATATTAATTGAAAATACATCAATACTTCATCAAAATAATAATATATAGAAACGTAAATCCTAGAAGCTATAAGAGAAAATCCTAGGAAATATAAGAGAAAATCCTAGGAAATATAAGAGAATTAAAGCCAAAAATAAAAGTCAGCTATGAGTATAGCAACAAAGTTCTTAAATGTTTGTAGCAACAAAATTTTATATATATAAAATAATAATAATAATAATAATAAATAAATAAATACATAAGTTACCTCCCTTGCATAGGAAAAAGCTCTTGAATTTGACCCTAGAACATGGCAAAACGCAGTAAAACGAACAGTGAAAAACATTTTGAATTTACGAAGTTAGGTAGAGAGATCCAAAGTCAATTTAACCCCAAGAATGTTATCTCAGATGAGATTGAAAGTAGTTGGGAAAATAAAGATCAATTGAAAGAAAATTTTGGTATTTTTCTTAATCAATTTTCTACAGCCACCAAAAAATTAAATCGAGGACTCGAAGGGATTAAAACTAAAATAAATAGAAATACTACATCTGAATTATTTAACCAAACATGTTTGAAAACAAAAAAGATAATTTGCATTAAAAATTTATCTGGGTCAACGTATTTGAGCAGATATTTATTGTTATGCCTACATGTAACCATTAATTCATTTCTCTTGTTTAATAATCTAAAATTATTTAAGTGTTTTAAAATAACTAATTTTTCGAGATAAGATCACATTTTCTCTTCTACGTGAGTGTTCCAAACATAGTTTCACAAGATCCTCTTTGAATTTGCAACAGGAAGCGTGGTACCACTCCGGTATCTTTCCCATGGCGACACACATATATTAAATATAGGAATCGCATGCGTCTTGAATGGAAACGACTTTTGTGTCAAGTCCTGTTACCATATTTACTCCATTTTCAGGAGGCAAATGTTTTTCTTTCTCTTTCATTTGTTTCGTATTCATTTTTAAGTTTAATGATTCATTTTAAACAAGATTGTGTTTAATCCTCACTCCTGTTTTTACAGTTTCTGAAAACTATGAAAAATATCTGCGATAAGGACGACAAGCATTCATTTTAACTTTTATTCTGAGGTGCGTCTCTATGGTAGCCTGATGCCACACATTTCAGTAATCAGTTAATTTGTTCTTTTCGCCTTCTTTCGAAGTTACATTTCTTTATTTTTTTATTCTCGGTTTCATTTGTTATTTTTCATTTTCTTTTTTTCGTTTCCTTTACGCAACTTTTTTCTTTATTCATTCACCAAAAATGTTTTTCCCTTATTTCTTATTTTCTATTCCTTATTATTTTCTTTCTTTCTTTCTATTCCTCTTTATTATTCAGTTCTCTCCTTATGCTTAGACTAACACATATTTGCCACCATCTTCGGAGTGACTGCTTTTACGCACTGGTTCACAAAATGTAGGGCTTCAAAAACGCCGGGGTAAAGTTTATGCCATATTCGGTTCGTATGCACTGTTTATTCCTTTATAGAATGTCGCATATAAGCAAATCTCTCTCTCTCTCTCTCTCTCTCTCTATCTATCTATCTATCTATATATATATATATATATATATATATATATATATATATATATATATATATATGTATGTGTGTGTGTGTAAATACAGACATACACACACACACACACACACACATATATATATATATATATATATATATATATATATAAAAGGTGTTCAATAACTTGGAACGATTTTAAACTTAATTCACATTTAAAATCGTTATTTGGAAGTTATTGGAACACCCCTTTATATATATATATATATATATATATATATATATATATATATATATATATATATATATATATATATATACGTATGAATAAAGACAAAAGGAAATGGGCCTCATCAAAGCATATATAAGAATTATATTTTGAAGTTAGGTTTTCAAAGTTTAAAATGCTCAAAATTATTCTTCAAGTTAACTGTATAGTCAAAGTAAACTATAGGGTATACTATAGGGTAAACTATAGGGTAAACTATAGAGTATACTATAGGGTAAACTATAGGGTATACTATAGGGTAAACTATAGCGTATACTAAGCGATGTAATTCAATGACCAATAAACTAAAGTAAATAATATTATTGTTGGTACTGGATTTTTAAAATTCATTATTTGTTCATATATAATTATTTATGTTTATATATATATATATATATATATATATATATTTACTTATATTATACGGAAGAGTAAATGGGTGGATGGAAGATTTTGTGGTCAAGCGACAACAAAACCAGTCATAAAGATTTTCCGAGGAGTAGTCTATATTGACAGTCACAATGGGGATCGAAGGAGTAAATCATTTTTATCGCCAAAAAGTTCTTATAATTTAAAAATATTTTCTTACATTAAGTAATCTTCAAATTGTTGATTAACCGTAAAAAAGAAATCAGTCAATCAATGCGGGTAAGGTTAGTGTAGTTTTGTGAACTCAGAGTAGTCCTTCTCCTAGATTGACTGCCATGCATAGTTATAGAGTCCAGTCTACTCTACTATTTAATTTATAGTAATTAGTTGAAGATAATGTTATAGTAAAATAACAAGAAAAGTAAGATAGGTTCGAAAATGAATTATCTATTCATACTAGCATTAAATTCTTTCTTTTTTTTTCCCTTTTGTTATTTCTTTTTTAATTATTTCTTGTATATTTGACTTCCTGGAAAATGTTAGTGTAGTCTGATAAAAAGATATTTTAATAATTGGCGACTTTTGAATAGCTGGAACCTCACATCTTCTTTTATCTGCCAGTCAACATCTTGGCATCGTTAATCATACCGTCTGCCCAAGAAAAGGTCTGTGTTTAATTACACGATTATGAAACATTGAATCACTGTCAGACAGCAAATGAAATAAAAAGAGAAAAAGATAGAAAAAACGAGAAAAAAAAACATTTTGACTAGCAATAAATAAATGTTGTGTCTGAATCATTTATTACGCTTATAAAATTACACCTCAACGGGCTGATATCAGTTTACGAGTTACAGCCAACAGCTACAACGCTTTCTGAAACGAAATACAAGAAAGAAACTTTCTGTGCATGTTTGTGTAAAAATAGAAGCGTAGAAATTACCATTATTTGAACCGAATACTGAAATAAGACAGCGGATGGCTTGTGCTGTCTTTATTATAGAAAATAAGTTCTGTCTATATTTCTTAGATGAAGTATTGTAATTATTTACGTTGTTCGGACTGTTAACCTCATTTTTATTAATCACGTGACGAAAGCCAGAGCGTACAACGACCGAAACGTCGTAAATATGGCAATAAAGATAAGGACAACAGTCCGAACAATGTAAATAATGTAAATAGAAAATGAGTTATTAGAAGAAATTTAAGAAAATATTGATTGAATTTTATTCAGAAAATGAGCTCTTTTCTTGTGGATGCGCGCAAAATGAAACCGGCGGATAGTGTTCGAATTTCAGCCTAATCTGCTGCATGTACTTCGGATTTTCCTACAACCCATTTCCGATAGATGAAACTTTTCTAACATCTCGTTACTCTATCGGTATTTTCAAGGTAGGTGTTAAGATGTGCTAAATTCCTTAGTTCCACCAGTTCAGACCTTCACAGCTAAGACATGCTGTGCCATTTCCACAGTGACGTTTCATATACATTCCCTTCGTCTTGCACCGGTTAGAAGGAAGTTCTACTAAAAAAAAGCTTCTTCCCTAGACATGTCACCTAGTGAAGCAGACTCTTCTCTAATCAGTACAGTCATATCATGGCTCTCCACTTTCCCCTATCCTAGCTCTGAATAAATTTAATCCTTCTGCAAACTACCCCAGACCACGTTCTGTCACATTCCAGACCACTTGCTTAATTCTGCCAAGTATGTCATGCGTTGCTTTCCCTTGTCTCTCTTTCCCTATTTTCGACCTGTGAGTATCAGACTCTCCAATCCCTCCTTTCTCATTACCTGTCGCAGAAACTTCAGCTACCTCTTCTTGATGTTAAGTATAAGCCTCCTCCTTCTTTGTACCCTCTCCAAGACCTCATTATTGCTCACGCGCTAAGTTCATGATAATCTCAGCATCCTTCTCCGTCGCCTTGAGATTTTTTTTTTTTTTTGTTACCAAAGAGATCCTCCTGTCTCGCAATCCTCTGCCTAGCTTCTGGAATGAGTCCTTTTCCATCTCAATACATCTATAGATCTCAGTGTGGCACTTGCCGTCCTCTCTCAAAACACTTCCCAGATATTTAAACTTCCGCACCCATTGATTTTATTGTCCCCGAACTGGCCGCGGATGCTGAAACCCGGTAGGATTTCCAATTCTCCCAGAATTGCCTCGCTGTATACACTTTCTGTTAAAACGTAATTACACTCTGTACATCCTAAAATATTGTTTCTTTATTGTTAAATTTTTTTAATCGTTTAAGAAAAATAATTTAATTTCTTTTTAATATCATATTGCACGAGTTTCGTCCTTCCAAGAGCACAAAAAAAAATCAAAGTAGTAATACAAATACAGGAGTCTTTTGTTACGTATCCAGAGACGAGCCTGATTAAATAAAACACTTCTTCCTGACAGTAATTGATGAAGTCCGTTTCTCAGTTTCGTATCGACTTTAGTCCTTTAGCACGTTTTAATATTCAGTCGAGTAAAACATTTCTGACTTTATACATTTTTTTTTTTTTTTTTTGCTATCTTATGAAAATCAGTTGTCAGCTTATTCTGGCTAAAGGAAACAACAGGAAATATTAAGAGTCACGAAAATTACAAAGAGTCTTACAAAGGAAAATAAACGAAAACTAACGAATCAATTCATCTGATATAATTTTGTAAACGACTATTTCTGATATTGCATCTCCACAAGAGAAAATGAGTTTGTTTTTTTTGTTTCGTTCTTTTTTTTTTTTTTTAATGTTATACTGATGATATCGACTCTGGTCATCCTGTGAAACTTGTCTAACGTCAATGAAATTTTATTTCAGATTATAGACTCTCTCCTTTTAAGATGGAATGCCAAGTAGAAAAGAATTGGCATGTTCGTCATTTTTTCTTTGCTTTTAGCACCTTCCCTGGTGTACACGTGTATATATGATTTTACCGAAATAGTCTTTTTCAGTGACGGATGAATAAAAACGTCCAAAATATAACGTTCAAAAACCAGCTACAAACGTGTTTATACGTCAATCTTAATTCTGTTTATGCCCTTATGAGGTTGAAACGAGTCCAATTATCAATTCATTCGTCTGGTAGAGGGGTTAGACGCCGTTCAGGTACTTCAAGGAGTCTCAATTTCTTAGTTACTATATTAAATTAAATTAAATGGAAAAAAAATCGTCTGAAAATGAAACGCTTTTCCCAAAATAGTTGGCGGGGAAGGTGTAAATCAAGGTCAAAAAGTTGCTCGAGTTATTTGTACTGCGTACGGAGATGAATTCATTAACGCCAGAATGGCACTAAAATGGATTTCCCGTTTCAAGGATGGGAGGTTCAAACGCACAGTTCTGGCCGGCCTGTTCAGTTTAATGAGAACCAGTTGCACGCGCTGATTAAAGAAGAACCACGTCAGGCCATTATGGAATTGTCTCAGAGAAGACGGAAAGCTCTCATATTACTCTACAGGTAAGGTCCAAAAACACGGCGTACGAGTGCAATATGCATTGACCGAGAGAAACAAACTTCAGCGTTCCTCCATTGCCGCTAGTTTACTCGCTCGACACCAGACTACTCATTAATACAAATAAAGAACTATGTTAGTAAGTTCTGATACACTCACTGTCGCTTTCTAATAATTTTAGGGGTGTTTCGTCCAACAAGGATGTGGATCTTAAAACGTGGCTTAATGAATTTTTCGAATCAAAAACAAGTGATTTCTATCGTCGAGACATTGAGCAGTTAGTGGATCGTTCGTAGGGGGGTCGTAAATAATGAAAAAGGAATGCAATGTTGAATGATTCAACAGAACTATTAATAAAATAAGTATTAAAATAAATGATAAAAAAAACAAAAGAATTGATGTAACAACCTTGTTTAATCTACATAAATACATTATAACAAATTATAATTTAACAAGAAGTTATTAGATTTGATGTTACGATAACCGATATTTTCGACATATTTATTCATAAAAACTTACCAATATTGAATTATTTCGTCATAATTGTTCCCTGGGTTTTATTTACATTTCGTTGCTTATATTCTTCCTGCATATTATTTTCAATATGTGTTTCTACAGAAGGATACTGAGAATAATGTGGAGAAAGCATATAAGCAATGATGAGTTTTACGGTAAAATGGAAACAAAAAGAATAATTATATTTAAAATCGGAAAAAGACAGGTGAAATTTCCAGGACAAGAAACAAAGCTTGAAAAATTTGA